AGAACCAGTTGATCTTGTGGATCTCAGATCCCTCTGATCCAGAAAAAGTATTTTTAAATTGTAGTGCTAGTATCCCTTCTACTGATTTGTGCTTTATTAACTCAGATTTTTCGTAGTTAGAAAACCAACGCCCACAAATCCTTTAACTGCCTTTTTGTGCATTGTTGGGTTGTGTCCAAACCAGGTATAAGTCTGCAAGTCAAAGGCTTTATTGCCTTTTTAAATGCGTTTCATTAACTGAGTTTTTCGAGATAGGTATGCACCTCGTTAATCTGAGATTTGAGTGAAGCACTCTGATTTAAGTGTCCTTTTTTGCCAAGATAGCATTCATATCACTGGTTTCAGCTTTTTTCTTCTCTTTAAGCCGCGTCATATTGTATACAGGCTGATTTTAGCACAGAATTATTCAATATTAAAATAATTGATATACTTCCCTTCACCTACAAGCTTGTGAACAACACCAACTGGAACTGGAACCTCTATCTAAAAGTGACTAGTCATACACTAAGGGAATATTACAGCCTCATGTGACTGAAGTACATTTGCCAGGAGAGCTGTCCTCTTCATCTTAAATACATGTTGTTTCCTGTTTACACAGAAAGTAACAAGATTCCCTCTAGTCAAGTGGCTGCTGAAGTGTTCCAACCTGAATGACATTGAGCTCCTTCGACTGGCTGGTGCAAGGGGCCGAGTAAAAGCTAATCAGGCTGTAATTCAAGGTTCGCCTGGCCACTTACAATCGATACCTGCACAATCCCAATTAAAGCTTGCCGGGTCAGTGGAGGGCCACCAATTCCTTTACAAGTTAAATGCAATACTTAAATCTAAGCTATCTCAGTGTGGCCTTCATTGGTTTAATGGCTTGTCCCAAACAGGAGTATCCAGTGAAAAGTGCAAAGAGGACACAGGGTGGACAGGTTTCAGAGATAAATGCTGCTGTATGTGTGAACACAGTTTTACACCAAGACCTTCTTGTGCAAATGGATTCTGTGTAAACTCTGTGCTTCAAATTCCTCACACCTGCCGAAAACAATATGTTCTAGGGCTTCATCAGTTGCTGTCCATCTTTACCTAAGCCAGAGTCATTTTTTTACTATTAGATTGTGTTCAGGTTATGAAATATGATGCATTTCTGTAGATTAAACTACAGAACAAGGCATTTTTTACATTCTGATTATACTTTAAGTACATTTTACTAATAATGCTTAGCTACTTTTACCTAAGTTACATTTTCACATTTTCATTGCCAGACCTTTACTTGCAATGAATTATATTTGTATTACAGTATTTGCTATTTTTACTTAAGTAAAGGATCTGAATATTTCCTTCACCAGTGCCTAGAACTCAAAATAACAAACTCACAGCTCCACCATCAACATCTCTTACCCACCTATTTCTTCTATTCTCCTTCCAGTTTTCTCCCTCTGAGCTTTTGCCATTGCGTTCATGTCTTTTATCACAATTTTGACCCACAGAAAGGAATTCTCACAAGATATCAAAACAAAAATCTATATTTAATATGGGAGCAATTACAAAGTGAAGTTGGCTGCACAGGGCCGTTGTCACCAGAGCGCGTGTTTTTCATCAAATAGGTCATTAGACGATGATGGATGTAAACCTATAAAGTATCTAAACTGGACCTTTTAACAAACCACGAGCAACACTATCATTTCTCTAATAGAACCTGCTGACCGTGTCATTCCCTCCTGCCATTTGTCATTTTTCCTTGTGAAATAATCAATATCTGGGTGCTTTGAAATAAATAATATAAAAGTCATAGTAACCTACCCGAGGAGCAACAAAAATAGACTTATGGAGCATTCACAAGGCCTATGTAGCCTCTGGCCAATGTCTACTACATGTTTCTAATCAGTGCATAATATGAACTGTATCTTTTAAAGTAGAGCCTAGCAGATCTTGTTTATTTTCATAGTTACAATTTGTTGTGTTCTCTGTGTCCCCAGTTAAACATGTTGGACTGTCATTATATCAGAAAAGCATTGAAGTACATTATTATTTGTGGCATAAATATTGCTGTGCTCTTCAGGTCAATATGACAAATATATACAAGAGTTAAATTTTATCAAACTCTTATTTTTGTTCTATTTCTATCTCTTCTTTTTAGTTAGCATTGTAACCAGCTAGACCCGGCTGAGCTGTCCTGTCTCATCACTTTCCGATACCGAGTCACTAGTATCCAATCTGGCCTGAAGAAATAGCGCTGCTCTGAGGGTGTATTGTAACCTCTTGTTTTGTACAACAACAATGGTGGAAGCTCTTGGCAAGCGACCATCACCACCAACCGCTCCCAGCAAGAAACAAAGTTCGGGTGCAGAGAAAATTTACAAATAGCCCCTTGAATCCTTACCCAAGACAGCTGTCTGGTTTTGTTACCTGTTGTGTGAATTGACAACATCAGCACATACAGCTCTGAAGCTGTATAACTCTATATTATTATCTGGATCTGCACCAAAGTATGCAAACCTATAGCTCTCCAAACCAATCGCATTTTTTAACCAGATCCACACCAAACTCCTATAAATCAATACTTTTTAAGAGTGCTTCAAGACTGACCAGAATGAAGTTTCTTTTTATTCTTTGTGTTCAGTGTGAACATAACTGGCATCTGATTCAGTTGTACTACAATAATATGAAATGACTATCTGAATATTCTGTTTCACACAAGTACCATAAGAATTTATAGTCCATCTTCCTTACACCTCCAGAAATCAAAGATTCAGACCCCGAGGAGCTGGCCATATTCCCATATTCACAAATATCAAAATAATGTCAATTCTTGGATTTTGTACAAAGACAAGCTCCCACCTCATACTGAGAGTGTCATGAAATAGCTGTGATGCTGACCACATAAGGAAAGGCGGTACTTAACATCCAGAGTATCTCCACTTGAGCGGCTCACTAAATGAATAACACATGTTAATTACACAGATGTGTTGGTGCGTGTGGGAACTCCACAGATGACAGGGGAAAAAAAGCAGCCAGTACAACCTTTACCTCGTCACTGACACCTGTCATTATGGCTGCATGTCAGATGGCTAATGAATGTGTTCAGGGACCAGATGATGATGATTCATAACTGAAATGGATACATCTCAGTTCAGCCATGTGATCAAACTGTTTTATATTACAGATACGCTATATTAAGAACCGTCTTGTCACTGTCTCTCTTGGTCTCACCTAAGTTTGTTTTTTGTCCCTTTGGAGGACGATGCATTGACAGTTCCCTAATCTTAATCATAACCAATGCATGTCTACCCCAACCTTAACCAAAACATTCATCTTCACCTTAAAATTCAATATCATGCCTTGTTGGGAACCGCTTTCTGCCACCAAATTAGAGATGACTACCCATAATGTGACAGTAGCCTATAATGCAATTTTCGTCCCCACGTCACTAATACACGCTCCTTCCACACACTTGCATTTCACCAACGTGGCCCACAGAGGGTGCTGTCTCCCTGTCTTCCTCTACACCAGCTTCCAACCAGTAGACTGTTTTTTTTTTTTTTTTTTTTTTTTTTTTTTAAACAAGTCAATTAATATCAATGAGTGAATATACATAGCACATTTACAAAGAGTGCAATCTGAGGGATGAATTAACCAAATCGATTAGGGGGGAATAAATGACTGCGCGACCGGCAGACATTGTGGAAGTGGCCCTCGCTGAAAATCAATGAATTAGAAATATGAATCTAATCGCCCATTGGTGACATGTCGAGTAGCTGCAGCCTGATCTCAGGCCTTTTTCATATTGTCTCTGAGAAGCGAGAATTAGGGGACTGTTTGACGATTCGACTGCTGGCATGGTGACCATATATACACTCTTATTAAAGCTATATGTAATTGTTTTGTCGAGTTTGGATGAAAATTTTCACCATTCTGCACAAGAAATGAGGCATATTAGTGATTGAAAAATATGATGATGAAACTTTTGCTCCATTTTAATTTCTGTGACTGTTTTTATGAGTTTGCATATAGCGGGGGTTTTATGTGCTGCTGAGTAGGATGTTACTGGTTTATTCATCTGGCATACACACACGCATGGGTGGATTTTATTCAATGTAATTCGTTTTAACGGATTCACTATATAAAAGCACAATTAGGCCTTAGATTATCCAGTATTAGGTCCACAGACTGCAGCCTTTTTAAAAATTTCTTTAAAATACATATGTTTTGTTGATATTTCGAGAAATGATCTATTCAAAAATAGCCACATTTTAATAATCCACCATACACCTGCATCCTGAATGGAAGTGGTTCAAAATATGTTTCTAAATAGGAAAAACAAACTCTGGATTATGAGTAACCTCTTGCTGTCCATCTGTGGCTGACTGTAGGCTAATGTTAGTTGCGTGTTGAGGCGCTTGTTCTGACGGCGCTTATCCCAAACCTTCCTTTTTGGCGCTAACAGCCCTGTGTTCATTTGCTGCCTAATTGGACTATATGAGACCAATAACAGGCGAGCGCACACCGCCTGCAGCCAGAGCGCACAGAGAGGGAGGATGGTCTCTCTCTCTCTCTCTCTCTCTCTCTCTCTCTCTCTCTCTCTCTCTCTCTCCCTCCCTCTCCCCCCTCACCGTCTCTCCCTTAATCCCATTTGCCATTGTACATGCCCAATCGCCTATACTTTCCGCATTTAACTTGGATGACATTTTTATTTCATCATTAGCATCAGACTGACTGACACGGTGGACACAGTTTGCGTTTTGACGAAAGAGCCCGGAATGAGACATCTCCATGTTATTAAATTTTTTCACGCCTCAAACATTTTATTTTATTATTTTTCTAGGCTAGAAGGACGTGTGTTTTGACGCGCTCCCCGAGTGTGAATCGAGTCTCCGCGTTAAATCATTGAGAAGAATAAAACAGGAGCTCCACGCAGTCCGGATATCGACTGTCTGTAAATCAGCCTTGTTTTTTTTTTTTCTTTTGTAATTCCTGCTTCCGTGGTCCTCTGCGTTCAGACCACAACCACAGCGATGCCAGAGACAACGCAAGAGACGTGCGCTTCGGCCAAAGACTCTCCTTTCTTCATTAAGAACCTGCTGAACTGTGATAGCAAACCGTCCAAACCCAAGCCCGTACTGGCTGCCACCAAGGCGGCATTGGAGGGAGGATTTTCCCTTTCTCAAGTCGGGGACTTGCACTTTCCACGTTTTGACCTGCCCGCACAGAGGTTCAGTCTACCGGCTCACTACTTGGAGCGCACCTCGGCGTGGTGGTACCCCTACACCCTCAGCTCATCCGCCCACCTACACAGAACTGAAGGTAAGGCTGAGACAGAAAACTACAGTATTTATTATATATGATGGATACATAGAGGGTGTCACTTACGAGCAAGCAACCGCCACACCTTTAGCCTTTGGATTATAGCCTATTTTGATGTTGGAGTTTTTTCTCTTAATCATTTAAATAGAGAAGGAAAACTTTGATTAGATTTTTTATTTTTAAAAAAAAGTCAAATCATTGGTAACATGTCCCCTGTGCGTTTGGTGACATTATAACATCTTGTCAGCAACCTGTCATTGCACTTCCTCCTCGGAATTGCACTCGATAAAAGTGGAATTTGTGCGTTTTGGAGATAGGAAATAATAATAACCCTATACCACACCACAGAGTGCATAGTGATGTGACGCCTTGTCCTCAATGAAGGCCTATTTTGTTATGCCACGACGCGGGATAATAGATCAATAAAGTGACTCACTGTGCATAAAATGAAGTAGACATCATGAAATCATCGGGTGAGGGTGACGATGCGCAACGTGCTTTTGATTTGTCTATTGGCGCTCACTATGAACATCTTACCCCCGAGGCCTGGCCACTGACAGCCTGTTCCTGTGATTTATTCACGTGGGATTTAAAACACGCTGATATGAATGGCACTATCATGCAAAGAAAAGATGTGATTTCTTTCAGTTTTTTTAAGTTAGGAGAATGATAGTGAAACGCTGATTTGTTGAAACAAGACTAAGAAGTAAAGCAGGCCAATGGATTATGAATGTTTTACTTATTCTATTAAAAATGCCCTTTTTCGTAGGGTATAAATAGTAGCCTGATTTAGTACATAGTTGAGTATGGTGTTGTCTGAAAATGGTTTATGTTTATGTTGTAAGTCTAATTTTCTGGCACTATTTATAATCATTTTCGTTTTTCTAAAGTAGTACCAGAGCAGTGTCAACAGGGTGTAATAAAAGCACAAATACATAGAACATCAGTCCTCAGTGATAATGACCACATCTCCCTGTTTCCCCATTCCAGTCACCGAGAAACCACAAGCCAGGGACTCCTCTCCAACCTCGGGCACCGACAGAGACTCTCCGGACATGGTGCTCAAATCCGAGCCAGACGCCAAAGACGACGACGAGGATGATGAGCACAATAACAACAAAAGTGGTGACGAGATAATCCTGGAGGAGAGCGACGCGGAAGAAACCAAAAAAGACGAACTGGAGGAGTGGAAGAAGAGAGACGACGACAAGAAGCCGTGCCGCAAGAAGAAGACGCGCACGGTTTTCTCCCGGAGTCAGGTGTACCAGCTGGAGTCCACCTTCGACATGAAGCGGTACCTGAGCAGCTCGGAGCGCGCCGGCCTGGCCGCGTCCCTCCACCTGACGGAGACTCAGGTGAAGATCTGGTTCCAGAACAGGAGGAACAAGTGGAAAAGGCAGCTGGCCGCGGAGCTGGAGGCCGCGAACCTGAGCCACGCCGCGGCGCAGAGGATAGTCCGAGTGCCCATCCTCTACCACGAGAACTCGGCCTCGGAGAGCGCAGGTGCCGCTGCCAACGTGCCCGTGAGCCAACCGCTGCTCACCTTCCCGCACCCTGGCGTATACTACTCCCACCCCATCGTCACATCCGTGCCGCTGCTGAGACCGGTTTGAAAATAGCAGAAGTCAAAATCAAGTAAAGAAAAAAAGAAAATATTTTTGTACAATTGACAGAATAAAAAAAGAAGAGAGAGAGAGACACTGCAGGCCTACGTGGACCTATTTTGGCAAATATAGCCTATTGTGTCATTTTCCATAAGGGTGCCGTTTACACGTGATCCGACAATTCAGATCCCATGTTTTATATTATTATTATTATTATTATTATTATTATTATTATTATTATACGATCACCTGTGGTGTCCACCTGCTCACACTGCCTGATGAGTGTCTTTAATTCTTTCCCTAGTTTTTACACCATGACTGTTGTTGAACAGGCCAACTGTGTGCGATATTAATTTAAAAAAAAAGTACCTTGTTTACAAAACGTGGCGGCCTAAAGGCGCGGGCCTGCTTATCCATTAACACACTTATTTTGTTCACATGTCCAGAACTGCTGACACGATGATGTGCAATACACTGACGGTGTGCTGTGAATGAATGAATGAATCCACTAAACCGAGAAAAAAAAAAGTTTTGTTTTGTCTATTCGCGGTGGAACACTGATGAGGCTTTGTTGTAATATTTCCCCTTTCTTTTTTTTTTCTTTTTTTTTTGCTGTTTGAAGCGCGTGACGTGGACAATCAAGACACTCTCAGCTGTAAAATACCCCTGTAGCTTTATGTTTAGTTTTAGTGACTCGCCCGCGTTCCCTCCACACGGACACGTCCTTCAAGCACAAGTGTGAGCTCCAATTGTCTCTTGATCTACTTTGTGTTTTTGAACAGGAGCGCCAAGATATCGACTACACTGGTCTACAAAATATGTAAATGTATATATTTAATGAGGCACCGGGAGAGGAGCTGCCACTCGCAGCTTCTCCTTTGTACAGTAAAAACAACGTTTTGATATTGTATTGCTGAACCATGTTGTGAAATAAATGGAGAATATTCCTCACATTTTAGGACAGTTTTTGTAAGTCTTCCTTTCTGTATCCAGCCATGGATTAGAAAAATCTCTGAAGTAACCTGATGAGGTTCAATGGAGCCATGTTCTAATCAACATATATTTTAAAATGCTGTGTTCGTGCACCCTGCATAAAATTTCACACACGTTTTACGCAACAATCGAAAACATTATTAAATGTAGATAGTGATAGGACAGATTAATGCTTATCTGATAATAGACACACACACACACACACACACACACACTCTCACACACAGACACACTCACTCTCTCTTTCTCACACACACACACACACACACACACACACACACACACACACACACACACACACACACAGACACACTTGGGCAGGTGGGTTTCTGTAATCATCTTGGTGTTATGCACTTTAAAAACGTTATTTTACATAAAAAGTGGCTCGGTCAATTAGATGCGTAATTGCCACCATCTTGCCAAAATGATGGGTAATGTATTCAGAAGAGGACATTACTCCCTGAGTGTGAGCTGCTGTCTTTTAGCCGTATTTTTTCTCCGTATGTGTGTGTGTGTGTGTGTGTTTGTGTTTGTGTGTGATGTGTGTGTGTGTGTTATAGTCTATTTTCTGTAGTCTGTGTGAAGTGATCTATGACAAATATCACCACCTCACTATTTTGGTGTTACTACAAGCCGTCAATGTTACTGCCAATTTATTCTTATTTTATTTTTGTATTTAAGCACATTGAGAAAAAAAAAAAAATCTCTGAACTGTATTTTATTTTTTGACTAGCCTACCTTTTAAGGAACCTCTTGTCTTTACAAAGAATAGCCTACCAGTGATGTCACTAACCCTAACCCTGAATTGTGCAAATTATTTTAAAGGTAAAAAACACCTCTTTTGAAAAATCAGATCCTTGCTGTTTTTAAAATCTGTAAATAGCACCTCACAGTGTCTCCACGGGTAAAGCCATATTGTTCTGTAGTGATCTGGATGAATGGATTTACTTTAAAAAACAAAAAAATTCTCATTTCTCAAATTTGAAATAAATGATCAAACTGGTGCTTTGTAACACATACGATCCTACAGGTGTCACTGGACGCTCGATGCGACTTTATCTCAACAAACACATGCGCCAAGCGTCATTTTATTAAACATTAAGTGTAAAATAAAAAGTTTTAAAATACATGAGATAATTTTGTTTTCATCCAAATTAACCTGCTTTAATATTTCTCTTGAATAAGGAATTACCTTCCTCCAACTTGATTCAAGACACCGCGTGATTTGAAAAAAAATCAGTGGAAATTGGAAAAAAAAGTGCCCTAAATAAATACCATTAGTACAGGCTGCCCCATCCCAAGATGACGGCTTTGCTTTATAATCTTAAAAAATTCTTCAAAAATCACATTGATCCAGGTATTTTTGACAGGTGAGACATGACGAGACTGAACCAGTTAGTCTACTAGGCTTACATATACTGTTTTTGTTTAATTTAATTTTATTACTTTAATTTAATTTAATTTTATTTTACTTTTCATAAAACTGGATGTGCTGTGCTAAAGTTTCAAAGGCAGCAATGCAGATCCAAGGGGAGGAGGCTCCGAGAGGAGGGAGGGAACATTCCTCTCAGCCTCTGTTAAATTGGGCACAGTAAAGTAGTGATAAGTAATCAGCAATGATTTGTTACAAAATGAAATAATATTTTCATGGCAGAGTGCAATGTTTTATTTCAAGGTTTCAAAATTTCTTTGAACGCTTTTGAGTCTGGGCAGAATCCACCTTCAGACCGTTACCAGGTGACAGGATCTGCAGAGGAACTACAACCTGCTTGTGCACGGTCCCTTTAAATGACAGCAGACTCAACAAAAGCCTGATTCACTCCTAGTTTACTCAAAGTGCGTTTTACGTGGAGGCAGATGAACTATTGATAGTTTGAGTACAGTTTCAGGAGAATATGCTGAAAAAAAACAAACATGTAATAACACTACGCTCTTTTACCACAAAGTAACTGCTGAAATTCAAAATTTAGCAAATGAGATTTTGAGTAACAATTTAACAATTATTCTCGTGTATTTCCCATTCAGAGCAACCTTTTCTGTTTTCATCTGTGGGCTAATACAGTTATTGGAAATGAATCAGTCAGCTATAATAAACTCCATATGATGACCTCATCAAGAGACAAAGGGTTCATTCAAATATCGTCAGATCACCCAAAGTATTGACGCGTACCTACCATGCACACTCAACACGGCCCCATTACTGCAAATTAATAGATTAGTATGGCATTATTCCTCTGGCACATATCGATCTGTGAACGTCTGCAGCACATTGCGTCAAGTAAGAGCAACGTTCGCGCGCCGTTTCGGCTCAGCTTATGACCTTGATTTGCGCGCATAAATTGAAAAAATTACCACTCGATAATTTCCATTTGTGCGACATCTTTATGTAAAGGAGAAAAGGAAGCGGGACCAAAATCAGATAAAGTACATTTGCAGGGACGGGGGCAAACGGACGTGACCGGGGACTGCGATCAGTGTATTACATTAAAATGGAGAGCTGAATGGGTAATTTTAAGCCCCCCTATCATGGGTTTTAGTGCCAGTTTGGAGACACACAAGTGGCCCGACCACCTTGCGTAACGCGAGCCTCTTCTCTGCAGCCGCTGGCATCTGCTCAAATGTGTTGGACTATTAAAGTTTGTTACAGTGGGACTTTAAGGCTGCATGCAGATCATTATTATTATTATAGCATTTGATGCAAGAGGTTTTGTCATGGAAGCCTAAAGGACCATTTTCTGACTGTGCTTCGTGAATGAGGTTCTCTGAGGGGTTGGCACAAGGTTCCCTACAAAGAATGCAGTGATATTTCAATTGATGCATGGACAGAATGATATAAGCTCCTGTACCTCAGATGCATCCTGACTAGATGGTATCTGTTGGTGGATCCTGACAATCAGAGGCCACACAGAAGTGACCCGAGCACCTCACGCCCCTCGGCGTGATGCGTCAAAGCTTCACGTGTTTGAACAACTCTTCTTTTTTTTTTTTGACACTTTCTTGAAGAGGAAGTCTTGTTTTAAACCCATCCCATTTGCTTTCCTGATTGAATGCGAGCATCAGATTTTCATCAAAGTTCTATTAAGTGAAACATAGGTTGCGGGGCACCGTCTGATTGGAACAGTTTAAATTTTAATTGTGTTTTTAATTTGACATATAGTTGCTGTGAAGAATGACACTGAAACGCCGAGGGGCGGTCGATTTTCTTAATTTCTCCCCGAGGAATTGATGAGTCTATCAGGGCAGTAGATTGGAAAGCCATTAAAACTCAATGGTTAGGTTGTTAATTGGAACTTGATGGATAGGAGCCCTTGGATAGGCTGTACTGATCCAATCTTCCTGACTTTGTGTTTTCCAATAAATTACCCAGTTCATTTCCACACTCAGATTACATAAATTGTACACCTCCAGGGCTTGGGCGCTCTGCTTGCGTTTACAACTCTCTCTCTCTCTTTTTCCTCCTCCTCTCTTTCTCTCTCTCTCGCTCACACACACATACACACACACACACACACACACAAACGCCCCGTGAAAAAAGAGCAGGCCCCGCTTTCTTGAATGAAAATCGAAACATAATCAACGTTTATACTTAGAAAATTTATTGATATCATTTTCTCTGGTAATTTCCTTATTTTAGACTTGGACACGCCATATATCATAATACACACGTGTAAAGGGTCTTTGTTTAATATTTATCGAAGCTTGATTCCCAGATCAAAGCGCCTCATAACTTCATCTGTCTTTCTCAGACCTTTCTCTCCTGCTAAAGATCTTGTTCTGTTATTGCGGTAGGGCGGCCATACACCACCTATCATTGTGATAGAGCACGAACTTATAGGCCCACTCCTTGCTGTGTGTCTGGGCCTCGATGAAAACGCACTCAACATTTCCATAGGCTGCTAATATAGGGAGAGCTACGCGGCTCTCGGCCTGCACTGGCCTATATAAACGCCAACTCCGAAACTCTGACATAAAAACACGGCGTGTAAATCATCCTCTGCAGCACAATAGCAGCCTGTTATGTCCACTATCTCTATGATGAACTAATCTCACTTTGCAAAAGTCGTCTAAAAGTGATGAAGGCGGCTCCACTGACAAAGGTCTTTGTTTGAAAAGAGCGGCATATAAAATAAACCCATTTAACTGTCATTGCAGATTTCACGCCTTATGTGTAACCACCATAAATCCAGCATCCGCCCTGACTGCCCTCATATATTTACCCCCCCCCCCCTTCAGTAAAGCCTCCCCTGCGTAAGCGTTTTGTTAAGATCGTTTAGCAGCTGCTGGCCCCGCTGCCAGTTGACGATATTTACGCGTGGATCCAGATGCTGTCTGGCTACTATGATGATGATGATGGTAATGATGACGACAGAATCTGATGTCAGCATCATCATCATCATCACCATCATCATGATCATCGTCGTCGTCTTCTTCTTACTCTTACAGCCGAACGCCGGTTGTGCGTCTTACCGGGAAAAGCGCTGACATGATGATTAAAGCTGACTATTTGTAATGTGTCTGGGGCTCCCTCACAAAGCACTAAAAGAGGGATAATGCGCCCGAACCGCCAGCTCAAGCCCCGCAGCTGTCCCGCAGCCAGACACAACCAGAGGAGAGACACACACAGGGAAGGTGGGAGGAGGGCGGTGGTGGGAAGCGCGCCCCCTCCTCTTCACACACACACACACACACACACACACACACACACACACACACACACACACACACACACACACACACACACACACATACACGCCTGCGCGCACTCAGCCCCCACCACCTCCAATCAATTAGTCAATCAATTAGCCGGCCTCCACTCCACGCGCGGTCATCACGAGGCAGATTAGCTCAGTAATGATCAAATTAATTCTTAATCGCAGATAATGGACGCGGAATGAGTTTATTATTTTCAGGAAAAATGAGTTAGGCCTCTGTATTAGTTCCAAGGCTGCAGGCCTGTTACTGTCACCCCGACCAATTTAACATACACAGGATAATAGAAAAAAGACGACATGACGGTTCCTGCAAGAGGCCATCCTCAGCTGACTGATCCTTTTCCTCCTTGTACAGGTTGTACAGATAATAGACGTGTTGCCCATATCTTCATAATTCACATAACATTAAAAAAAACCTATCACTCTGTGGCATATTTAATCTTAATAAAAACATTCTAAACGGCAGATAATGCAAAAAAGTATTGATTTTTAAAACTAATATTTCTCATGAATCTCAACATATTTTAAGGCACATGGCTTTTTTTTTTTTAAATTCATAAAGTTTTAATTTACTCAAAACCATATTAGTTCACAGCTTATACACAATTACACTCCTCGTTTGATTTGAAATATTTTGGCAGCCCATGTTGTATTTGTTTAAAATAAATAAATAAATGAATAAAAAGTTAAGGTAGCAGCTGACCGTTTTCAGAGTCGTACAGGCTTTAAATATTAGCTACTGTAACTGTTCCAAGTTCAGCTGAATGCAGGAATGAGCACTGCTGGTCGTCCTCGGCTTTCTCGCTCTCCTCACAACCCTGACAGGAGTTTGAAATTTCCGGGCTCATGTTGGAGGCTGCGATTGGCCCAGGAGGAGCTTACCTACATGCAAATGAAGCAACGCAACCTTGCTGCCTCGGATCCAGAGCGTGAGGAGGAGGACCAGGAATACACTCATGTTCCCCGAGCTCTAGAAAAAACACCTCAATGTTAAAACTCCACAATTAAACAGACTAGTGGGGGGAAAAAAAGAGGACAAAAGGCGCTTTCGTAATTTTTACCTACCAATCGTGTAGAAAGCAATAACGGAATACAAGGGGACAGACAGATTCAGTCAATACTTCAATACTGTTATGAAGCGAGAATGAGTAACGCAGAAGACAGCGGGAGCAAGTGCTCGTCGGGCCCAATTTCCAGCTTTACCATTCAGTCTATTTTAGGCACGCCGTCCGATGCGCCGCGCTCCGGGACCAAGGAGCTCTCCAAGGGGCCGCCGCCGCCGCCGCCGCGGAGGCGCTCACTATCGGTGTCCTCCGAGGAGGAGTGCAGCGGCGGGGAGGACTCAGCAGACTGCTTCTGCTCTGACACGGGTCACAGCGAGCCATGCACCCAGCACCAAGCGCATAACTTCTCATGTTTAGGTGAGGATTATTATCATTATCATTATTATTATTATTATTATTATTATTATTATTATTATTATTAGGCTATTATTATTACAGCAAATGACATGAAACCAATTAATAAATGATAGAAAAAAGGAATTAACGTGTTGCTTTAACATTAACACACACTTATTGACACCTTCGATATAATTTATTTACAATATAAATGCCATGAAAGTAGGCCCACTTAGTTCCTTTTTGAAAAAATAAATATAGCTAGGACTTGTGCGTTTTGTTTTTGTTTGCACTTCAGCTCACATTTCATTAGCTTGTGACTGACTCACATGCAGCCAAACCACTTCCACTTGTTTATGTGCAGACCATCATCGCGGCAGCAGCAGCAGCGGAAGAGTGGAAGGTCGAATAATTAGCCCTCTGTCTTTCCTCTCGTTTCAAATTTAATTGAGCCTGCTAATTGATGAAACATGTTTCCAAAATGGCTGCACTACACGTCGTCAATTGAGCGTTAAATAGAGCGGGATTTAATTAATAGCTTACTGTACACCGAGCATACTCATGCTGAATTGTTTATTTAAAAAGTCACCGGCTTTCAGCTGTCCATTTAGCGAGTCAGAGTTCACACTTGACGAACTCTCAAACTGAGTGACACAGTGTAAAAGGATTTTTTTTCGGTGTCCTGTTTAGAAAGCGTGCTAAAAACACAGATGTGTTTATCGCTTCTGATACTGATCACCTCCCTCTCTGCTCCTGCTGCGTTCAGGTCCCGCTAAAGGACTTCTGTCTGGAAACGACGTGCTCGCACGGCGGCCGCACCTGCCGCAGCCTCTGCTGCAGGATTATAAGGAGGAGCAGGAGAGACCGTGCCATCAAATGTCACCTCTGTCGGAGGAGAGACAGACGGACGGTGCGGACAAGCAAGGCAACTCGGCTAAGAAGAAGACGCGCACGGTTTTCTCCCGGAGTCAGGTGTACCAGCTGGAGTCCACCTTCGACATGAAGCGGTACCTGAGCAGCTCGGAGCGGGCCTGCTTAGCCTCCAGCCTGCAGCTGACGGAGACTCAGGTCAAGACGTGGTTTCAGAACAGGAGGAACAAATGGAAACGGCAGCTCTCAGCTGAACTGGAGGCGGCCAACATGGCCCACGCCTCCGCACAGACACTCGTGGGGATGCCGCTGGTTTTCAGAGATAACTCCTTACTGCGTGTTCCAGTTCCGCGGTCTATCGCCTTTCCGACGCCCCTGTATTACCCGGGGAGCAACCTGCCAGCGTTACCTTTATACAACCTGTACAACAAGATTGAGTATTGATTGACTCTACTGTATGTTCACCACTGCAGTCCACGTAAAAAACGCATTACAAAATAATACAACATTCTTATAAGTGTCTCCACATAACCCCTGTATATTAATTGTATCACTTTATTTGTTGAGGAAATTCTTATTATGCAGCAGCCGTGCGTCTCACAAGAAAGCAATCAAGCTTCCCTATATGTATAAAATACACCATGTGTATAATTAATTCTAATAATTTTGTACTTTTATTTTATTTTTCTTTATCTGATAAAAACATTGGAGTTTAGCCTTCATATCACATTCAAGAACTCTGGACTCCACAAGAAATGCTTTTAAACCGTTTTTAGTCATAATTGTTTTGCCAATCATATTGCAAAGCATCAGTCATTTTATTTCACCTGACAGTAACCTAATGCTGACAGGAAAAAATACATAATTCTTCCATTTAAGGAAAAATATCATTGTTTCTATTGTAATTTAGACCTTCAATAATAACCTTCTCATTCAATAAATTTTCTATTTCAGTGAAAATCGGGTTTGCTTGGTTTTATTTTATGTACTGTTTTTGTGTTAACTGCTGACATATTTGCATTTTGAACACAGAAGGTAAACACTTAAAGCAACTGTAAACGAGGCTCATGTTAGATTTTACTCACTTGTGTTGACGCTTCCTGTCCCCTGAAGAGCGAACAAACAGTACTCAAATTTTATTACAAGAGAATGAGTTGTAATAAAATTTGCGTTCATGATAATCTACACATGCTAAAGGCTTGTGATACTGTCAGATATGAGTGGTGAACTTTTGTTGTAGAGGTGCAGTAATTTTCCTGTAAGGTTTTATTAGAGGTCCTCTAAACCAAGAGCAACTGTGCTTGCAGCATGGCTAAAACCAGGAATAAACCTGCCGTCAATTAACATATAAGACATTACAGTTTATACAGTGGTTTACATTGCTGTTGGCTCACAAATATCAACATATACCTCTTACTATTACATCAAATATTACGTTGTTCGGTTCTTGACAGGTGCATTTTAATTGCGGCTTGTATCTGTGGCAGTGAAAAGAGTTTTTCTCCAGATGCAGTGTGCAAATGATTTCGCAAAGACTTTTTAAATCATACTTTCAGATTAATTTTGAATTTAAAAACACTGCAACTAACCATAGCACTCTGCTGTAAATCAAAGGGGTGGATTGACCTGAGCCTTATAACACATATACATACAATACATACAACACACACAGAGGTAACTAAGAGGTAGATAAAGGGTGGAAAAGTGAGGCACACTATCACAAGCCAATCGTGCCTTTGGGCGGGATCTTCTCTCATTTGAAGTCTGCCTCCTATGGCTCTGGAGCATCAGGCCTTGTAAGAGGAAACCTAATAAAGAGGCATATTGTCAAAGTTCAAGACTCTTGCTTTCATTAATCGAAGCCGTTCTCTTCTCTCCATCCGCGTAATGAATTACTGTATCAGTTACACTCTGAATTCTGGATACCATAAACAGTAATGTCCTGTTCATTCAGTGGCTAGTTTAGATTTCCAAGAGTTCCAGCGCGCAAAATCAATTCACACACTGTCAAAGTTCAATTTACTAATTCATAACAATCCAATCCATGCAAATACAAAACACAAGCCTGAACAGAATCACACAGACCTAAAGACACATGCACTCCCTTCCAAGCATGCGCAAACACACACACCCACACACACACACACAAATGTCCCGTGGTTGATGGGGAGCGATAAAACTGTGTCATTTGGCAGCTTTTCTTGGGTGTCATATCATCTACAAGGGACCCCCACTCCTCCACCACCCCCACCAGCACCACCACTACCCACCCCAACCCCTTCTACCCATCCCACCAATCTCTCACTGTGTGCTAATGGCTACATTACCTAGCAGAATCATGACTAGCCAGGCTCTGCTGCCCTGCAGATTATGCCTGACCCAATTTCTGTAACAGCCGCCCTGTGTTTCTGGGAAAATGGATAGCGTTAGACAACAGCAGTGATTTATGGGTAACTCCAGCACCAGCGAAGAGGTGAGGTGCAGGAGGATGAATTTGTGACAGATAGGAGAGAGAGAGAGAAAAGAGAGAAAGAGAGATAGAGAGAGGGATTGGGAAGCGTAACGCTTATGAAAAGGAGCAATAGCTTTGGTTGAATGAAGCTGTTTATTAGTTTCCAAGTGGTCATTATGTCATCAGGTGTGACGGCAATGCGCCGCTCTTTTGGATGGATGTTTGCACCCCACTGAGTTGTGGGAAATCTGCATGACCTGTCACCTTAGGTTGTTTGATTTACAAGACAGGGAGGAGGGGGGGGCGTGTGGGGATGCGGTGATGAGCAAAGAAGAGAATAAGAAGCAGAGAGAGAGAAAGTGAAAGAGAGGAATAGGTGGGAGGTAGAGGAGGGGGTTCGATGTAACTATGTATCACTGCAATGGCAGGTGTGAATTACAAATTTTAATAGCAGGGCAATGAAAATGATTTGAAGTGGTTTAAACTGCAAAGAGACAGCGACTGGCATGGTGATGAAGATTTGTTGAGATGATGTGTTGTGCCTTAGGATTCATCAAACCTGCCTGGTAAGGTGAAAAGCAAGTGTAATTCACTCTGTGGTATAATTTATGATGGGAGTAATGGAAACTGTGGGCTACACACAGTGTGGAGAGGCAAAGACAGAGAGCACTGAGCAAATTGATTCTCAGGATAGTTTTTAGAGGATATTTACAGGATCATAATGAATTGTACTAAAACCTCCAGATATCACCTCTTTTACATCTTCAGATAAAATGATGGCGATCAAAACTAACTTAATAGAGACTCCATTAAATTTAAACAGGCTGCAACAACATTATCTATCGCTCACTTTTTTTTTATTTATAATGTCCTCTTCTAATATATGAAGATCTTTTTTTTTTTTTTTACATGTTCCATCCCTTCATCATTTATTTGGATGAGGGCTTTTCAACTACCTCCCAATATATTTACAGCCATTTGATTTAAAGAGCGGGTATATGGGCTTCATATTAGAGTGGAAGGTTATGAAGTTTAACACCACGAGCAGATGCAGAGCCTCGGATCTGCCTCAAGACAAGAGTTTTAAAAGCGATCGCAATGCATTAAGCCAGACAACTCTCAAGACCTGTTTGCTCCCTAAATGAATTTGAGGGAAGCGTAACAAGGTTTTTGAGGCAGGCCCTGTCATCCGCTGGCTTTAACCAGCTTCTGTATTTATGGGTTAATGGTTAAAAAGGAGAGCTTGGACCAGAAGTGATTTTTCATGATTCTGTTTTATATCAACTGGAAATGAAGGAGCTGAAGGGAAATTGTGTTTGTCCCCCCCCTCTCCCTAGCCCCTACTCGTTCTCCTTAACAGGAGAGGAATATGCTACTGTACAAGGCAAAGGAAAATGGCAAATGCAGCATATGGAGAAATTCTATTAAGTAAAATATGGAAATTATTTGGGGTATTTTAGAGATGCTCCCAAAATCCCAAAGCAAATGGAGAGGAATAGTTGGAACACAGGCATAAAAACATTACGATATATATCAAGCTTCGAATGAAAATAGATTTTTAACCAAAGAACTGCTTTCAGTCTTAAAATCATTTTACTGACGGTACCAACATGACCATCTTTTAAGATGTTTATAACTCAAGGTCAAATACAAGCAGCTCTGTTATTTGAGCTACAGTGAAAACCTTTGCTTCTCCAAGTTAAACTCTCCAAGAACAATATTTAACAAAAATCTGAATTAGTTCTTTAATGGTGAAATGCATTATGCTTCATTGTTAAATTACCAACCATTTCTTGAACTGCCTGTTTTGAAGCCCCATTCGCTGTCCAATATGCATCAAACTATTATAGGCTACAGTGCTTGTGGAGAACTCAGCTATTACTCTAGAGATAAGTCCATTAGCATTACCTTTGACACTATAATGGATGTGAGATACAATTTTCTGCTCTCCATTTTGTATTTGTAAGGATAATAGGGGGATTATCTTGAAGGCCTTATGCTATACACTCAAGAGTGAGACCACATGGAGGATAGAGAGCTCTGCAACAGTTGTTTTCACATCCTCCCCTCTCTCCCTCAGCTCTTCCCTCTGCTCCAAGATCCTCTCAGAGAGAGGCAGGGAAGATAAAGCATGTCATTATTCTATTAAAGACCTACAATTTTTGTAATGGGACTTGCAGCAGTCGGCAGAAGTGCAGGCAGCTTCTTCAATATCCTGGACATTATTTGCTCGTTTAGTTAAATGATGTTTCTAATTCCCTCATAATTACTTGTAATGAGGCTGTCTCCCTCGTTTTGATGCGGCTACATCTTAATACAGCATGGCATTCTTTTTTAGGGATAATTACCTCTCATGAGGCCGGGGAGCAAGGCTGGGGTTTGTTGTGTGCTGCACACGTGGCAAATTGGCTTGTTTCCTGCCATCTTGTCTTCCTGCAAATTGGTAAATTAAGTTTCTCGGCTGGAGCATCAGAACTGTTAAGTTTGCTTTCTTGGCTCCTTGAAATGATTGGCCTCACAGACAGGGAGATGGCTGTGTATTCTGTGTTTTGTCCCATTAACTTTGTAGACTATTTATTTACACAGTATACAGCAAATGTTAGGGGAGCTCAGTGTTGGAGCATTAAGAAAAAATTGTTAAGGGAGCAGTTTTGAAATTATTTGGACACTTATTCCAGATCACAGGGCAAAGTTAACACTGCAATCTAATGTCATGTAGGCATAACGTTCAAGATTCGAACTGAACACTGGAAACAAACAGTACAAAGTAGGGGCATTTATTGTTGCCTACCAGACAACAATAGTACCATAAAATACAGCTGCACTGCCACTGTGTCAACAAAGTCAGTGGGGCGGTTCCATAATTTTCATATTATTAGTATATTCAAGGGAGACCTTCAAGTCTTATTTAATAAATCTTGGGAATAATAAAAAGTAATTATTGTATTTTTAAAAGTTTGAATTGGAAGAATTCACAGAACTCAAATAATAC